CGTTTTTTCATGCCATCAAGTATCACATTAATTATTAATGCTGGTGAAAGAGTGTTCCAAAAAAATTACATACAACGAGTAAATACATCTAAAAATTATAGAGTAAGTTTATGCTTAAACATTTTAAAAATAAGAATAAGTTTTATATGTATATATAAAACTTATTCTTTTATATGTATAAACCCAATATATAGACTTATTATTCCGTGTACGTAAGACTAAACTTATCAACTTATACTACAGTAAGCTAACCTAAAAAAAATAAATATCATTTTTTTGTTAACCATCTGCTCTCATTCGTTCTTCCACTCTCTAAACTCTCTTTAATCAGATTTTGTTTTATTGATTTAAAATTCAGAGACAAAAATTTTAAAGACAACAATAATTTCGTCTTCTTCTTCAAAGTTTCCATTAGTAATACAGAAATGAAGCTTCACTTTTTGAAAGCACTAGACGTTAACTTCATAATGATAGGATAGTATGCAAAATTCATTAATTATTATAGATTAAATAGTTTGATCTTGTATTGTTACATAAGTGAACAAAGAATGACATCTAGGCTGCTCCTCATACCTCCAGGAAGTTAACTAATAGAATAAATAACTTTTCATCGGTTTTCAGCATCAGCAGTTTAATTTCAATGTATCAGCAATAACAACAAATTACTTTTGAGTCCATTGGATCATAGCTGGTGTGCAACTCATCAGATTCATCGCTTACAATAGAGGTCTCAAGCAAGGTTCTGATCACACGAAAAAAATGTCTTCTGAGAGTTCCGATAAAAAAACATGTGACAAAAGTGACAATTATACTACACTTATCCAAATCCAGCAAAATCACAGGCACAATAATCGTTTCTTTCGCTGTTTTTTTTGTTCTCGGATTATGAAGACAAGAGAAGAGCACAATAAACATATTTTGATGCACTATTATTGCTATACATGTCGTAAAGGTTTTACTGATTATAGTGGTTTGGTAGACCACAAACTTTTTGTTCATAATCGCCATTCTTTTTAAATTACATGTATTAAATCGTATTTTTCAGAATGAATTTGATATTATTTACTATAGTATTTACGATTAATAGATAAAATCTAGAATTTTTTGTTTGACATTTTTTACGAAAATTATAATTACAAATTATATTTTGTAAAAAGTGAGTGAAGTTGTTAATTCTTACACAAAAGTTTTCTAAAAAAGCTTTAGTACAGAACAACAATATTATTATCAACAACAAATGTCTGAACTAATAGTTTTAGCATGTGAAACAAGAGGAAAAGTATGGACCAGACTACAAGTACAATAAATTAATTAATTAGGAAAAGCTCCCAAAACTACCAACATAATAATATTTTGAAAATTATATTTAATTTTGAATACTATTCTAACAATTTTGCGTATTGTTTAGAAATACTAAATTTCATAAGAAAAGCAAAATAATTTTTTTTAACTTAGTATGTATTTGGTTAGTACTTAGCTTCTGCATGATAAGAATTTGGTTGTGACTCAAAAACGTAGTTCGGGCAGATCGTATAAGTTTTTACCTGACTGTCAACATTTATTATGTATTCAAATATTAAGTCATGTAAAAAAAATTTCCTGAAAAAAATAAAAGTAATGAAATAAACTTAAGAGTTTTAAAGAAGATTACCTTAATTAAACAACTAGCTTATACATTTCTGTGTGTGGTCTACAGGGGATAGACGAAAATTGTGCTGTGTCAAAATAACAGAGAAAAAAAACGGAATTTCATCTTATTGTGTGGGACAGCTATGAGAGGTGAGAGGGGGGTCTGTGGAGGCCAGGGGGTTGTATGAAACGCCCCACTCAAATAACTATATAATATAGGAAGATATATATCTAGTTGTATACTATATATACTGAAATCCAGCTCACAATGTGTACTTATTTGGAAAGTTTTTAATTGTGCAGGACATGGATTTCATTTGTTTCTATACAACTAGTTTATTACTGACACACTGAGAGTTTTTATGGTAATAACGTGATATCTTGGAGGTACATACATTTTTTTACTCGTTGATATACGAAACAACTTTAACACACAGTTGATATTTGCTCATTTAGTGGAAAATTTAGTAAAACACTTTTTCATGTTATCAAGTATCACTTTAATAATTAATATTAATGGAAGAGTTTTCCAAAAGAATTACATACAACGAGTAGATACATCTATAAACTATATTTTTAAAATGAGGATAAGTTTCATATGTGTGTAAGACTAAACTTATCAACTTCCAAATTACAGCGAGCTAACCCTAAAAAATGTAAAATATTATTTTTTTATTAACCATCTGCTCTCATGTATTCTTTCATTTTCTATCTCTTTTATCAGATTTTGTTTAATTGACTAAGAATTATTTTAAATTGCGAGATAACAACAAGAAATTCATGTGACAGACTTTTAATTTTTTTTTTTCTAATTGTTAATTAATCATTCCAAAACAACACTCGATTTATTCTTGACAATTTTTAGGATGTGAGAATGTTTTTTTTTTGAATGAGTTTTAAGTCTCACACCGGTAAAAAGTAATTACAAAAAACTAAATTCAATTATCACGTATCTGATTGCGTCTTCTTCTTCAAAGTTTCCATTAGTAATACAGAAATGAAGCTTCACTTTTCTTTTAATTCGAAAACAGTAGACGTTAACTTCGTAATGATAGGATAGTATGCAAAATGCATTAATTACGGATTCAGTAGTTTGATGTTTGATTGTTACATAAGTGAACAAAGAATGACATCGAGGCTGCTCCTAATACCTCCAGGAAGGTAACTAATAGAATAAATAAAAAAACCAAAGAGTCAAAATGTCTGAAACAATTAATGATAATTTACAAAGTTTAGATAGATATTGTTAACGATGATGTTAGTCTCACTGATTTTGCAAATAAATTTTTGTTCCAAATAAATTGTTTTATAAATAGTGGAGTAAGCGTAGGAAATAACAAATGAGACTGATTAAAAAAAACTCCTTGATAGGCGCACAAAATAAAATACATTAAAATTACGATCAATATCTTGTCTCTAATCTTTATTGGGAATAAATTACAAGTCAATGTGTATCGCATCGATGCATTGGTGTGTGACTTTAATATTCATTCACACTCGAATGAACTAAAATTTTTTAATAAACATATATCAAACGATCCAAGTTGATCGATAAATTTGCCACAAAAACGTTTTAGTCGATTGCTCGGTAACATAATATCCTTTCTCCTTGCCATTCCATCTCCTCTTGGTCACACAAATAAGCGAAAAGGTTAAGGAAAAACCAGTTCAAGGCGAAACATTCGAAATCAGCCAGAAAGTAAAACGAGGGTGGGAGGGCAAACAATAAGTGCATTTATTAAAATATCTTGCATCGAGTATAGCGTGTACACGAGCGAAGCACGGGGCGAGATAAAAGGAACCGTTGGAACATTACACGCTAACGTCAAGACTTGCGCGCGATGGTATAATAACAAAATGACGAGCAGCGAGGAAGGAAGTCTAGCCGGAGAACGAGGATAGGGGGAGGGAAATGAGTATCAGTCTGCCCGAAGGAGGAGCGGGTAGGAAGGGCCTGGCTTGCCGCCAAAGAGTTGGTAACGCGATATTCCGTATGTGAATCCTAATTTTCGAAGCAGTGACCTTCTCCTCTCTTCCTTCACTGCCACGAGTTTTTTCTTCCCAGCTCGTTTTGCTCTCTCATGCACCACCCTCCACGTGACCCTGAAACCTCCTGCTATACCCTCGTTTGCTCGATACTTCCTCGTTTGTGGATGTTCCACGGGTAAATATTTCCCAGTTGCTCTTATTTTCATTTTAATGGTTCATATTAAATGAAAAGAAGATCGAGCAGACGGAGAAAAACGAGGGAATCGCCCGCTGCTTCATTTGGATTAGAAGCACAAGGCTAAACGAGTGGTAAGATGAGCTGCGCCCACAAGCTGGTCTTTATCTCGTTGTGTATTGTACTTATGTGGGTCTCTTTGCTTTCAAGGTCAGAATTTTTGGGTTACGCTGTTTGGATGACCGCCACTCTGCCGCCACCTCCGATCGGTTTAATGTAGTGGACAAAGGGACGCTAAGTGCGCCGCTGCGTTTCCTTTAATATCCCCGAGTTGACAGCTAGAGTACCATTTTTAGAAGCTTTATTCATTAGAGATCTGAAGGAGTTTTATTAGTATGAGTAAATATGTATTTTTTTTTTTTTTCAACAAAATAACAGCAAATACGTACAAAATTGTCTCAATAGAAAAACATTGTTACTTTGTGTTCGGCGGCATATCGCATCTCGTAATCTTATTAAGTACTCCGTCCAGCGAATTATAAGAGTACACGAGTATAGCAAAAGCGTCGGCGTGGTGTCACAGCAACACTCGTTTTCGAGTGTGTCAGACGTGTGTCTCGAGCAGGAAACGAGAAGGAGGGGGGGGGGGTGAGAGTATCACGAGGGAGGAAGACGATGCTTTAATAGAATAGGGTCTAATTTGCATAAGCACGCACGCGTGCCAGGGCGAAAGCTCGAGCAGGTAGTATAGATGTAGACATATTAGCAGATGCACGCGGCGCATCGAGAAGGGTTTCCTCGGCGCGTCAGCAGCCCCTGGTCTATACGTGTAGGGGTACTCGTCGCTACGAACTAACGTTATTGAGCGGCGTTAGGCTCGCGTTGCGTAAGGTGGCTGTGATACCGATACTTGGCACGCTTGAGCCTTGTTTGCCAAATTGAGCAAGGAGAGCTTTGAAGTAGCAGTTATATCATAAGCTACTCGCTCGCTTCTTCTTTTTTTTTTTTTTCTGGCTCCCACTTTTCGCTATAGATTTGCCGCCAACTGTGAGCTCTTGGACGATTGTTTCGCTGGGTCTCTTCCTGATTTTGCGTACAACTTTTTCCGAGGCTATATTTGTACTTTCCGTTTTTCTGCTCTGTTGAGTTTTTCTGTAATTTGTATTTTTTTTTTTTTTTTTCATCTCTTTTTTTAATTGTTTTTCAGGAGGACACAGTGAGGCGCCGCAGAGGACTGCAAGGTCTCGCCGAGGAGAAGCGCAGAAAAAGATCTAATCTGGTCGAGAGCAAAGCATACACGGTCATTAAGGTAAGTTCAGACATCCTTTGTTTTTTTTAATGGTGGGTTTTTTTTTTTTTTCCGAGCTTTTAAATGCATGCTAAACTTTTGAGGAAAGAGTAATTTTGTTTTAATATGGGACCAGTGAGTGTATGTTTTTAAAATGGGTTGAATAAAATCAACTTGAGCGAATAAATTTAAGAAATTAGCTTTTTTCAAGTCAGAAGTTGTTACGAAGCATACGAAAACAAACCAAAATATTGCTCTTTTGAAATTTTAATGCGTAAAATGGAATCTTCATTGACTCGTTACTGATCACGTTATTGATTTTTGGTTGAATTTTAAATTAATGAAAATAACTAATACTATAGATTTATTGAGATATTACAGGAGAGAAATTATGAAATTGAGAAAAATTTGTGGACTCTGAGAAAAAGTTTTTCAGTGAGATTTTATCTAGAATTAATTTATTATACTTGATTATTCTTCAGGATTTTTTCAACGATGATTAAGTGTCTTAAAATTATGTTTTATTTAACACTCCCAGACTAATCCATAGTGATATTTTAAAAAACATGAAAAGCTTTTAAATCATCTAAATCTCTAATTACATTTCTCAGATTTACGCCGTTTAAAAAACTTTTTTTTTAAACTTTTTAGATAAAGTATAATCATTTACTATGAATCCTCATTTTGCAGTACACAAATCTTTACGTACTATGAACTCTAGTGACTTGAAAATTTACAAAATAATTTGTTAAAATAAGCGATTCAATACTTTAGGGAGATCATGATTTTATTTTTCATCTAATGAACCTGTTTTAATAATTCTATGAATCAAACTAATGATCCTATGTTACAAAAGACTTTCGTATATCTGCTATTTAGCACAAAAAAAAAGTATTCGTACTTGTTTATATATTGATTCCAGAAAGGATTACCAACTACTTGAGTAAACTTTTATGTACCCTGGGCTCTATCTTTTTCGAAACTTCTTGCCAAGAAAAAAGATTTGCTTTGCCAGAATCAACAGTAGTAACAAGAAAACACAAAAACTTTAAATTCATACACATATGATTTCTCAGTCGATTGTAAGAAAAATTGTTTTCCCAACTCCCTAGCCAACAGCTCATTCCTTCCGCAATTCGAACTTACGCAGTTTCGCAGCGACGAGCTACGAAAGTTTGAAGCTGATTTCACAAATACCCAAGAAATGTCATAGAAATGAGAAAAAAGGAAAGGACACTAGATTGAAAGATTCAATTTCCGTAAACCCAAAGTGTTTTTGAGCTCCACGGTAAATTTCATTCCAACTAGTATTACGGTACCAACGTATTCACATCCTCGAGCACGCAGCTTTCATTTATCCCGAAGTCTCTATTTTATTTCCCCCTCACTGCGCGGGGTTTCCAATTTCCCTTGATATTTTAAGCCAACACCCGCTTTGTGACTCGAGTATTTTAGCAGCAAAACCGAGTAGCCAGCACTCGTCGCGTTGTGGCTTTCTCGAAATCCTGTGTGATTTACACGTGCGATAGTTTCACTTTGATCTTCGCCTACCCTTTGCTTGATTTTCTAAATGTAGTGTACCTGCGTGGGCCCATAGCTGCAAGTGACATGTCAAACATGGACTCCTCGTTGATTACTAGAATTCTAGGATCATTTCATGGGTTTTTTTCATAAATTATTAATTATCGTTACCGATTTTGTCATGGAAGTCTTGGTTAATTGTGTTTTTGTCACCTTACTTCCTCTGTTAAGCTTAAACTGTACGCATACAAAATTCATTTGTTTTAATATTTCAAAGAATCGGTAAATACGCCACTTCTGTTGGTTTTGTAGCATCGTGATCTTTTTTTCCTATAAACTTTTACTAAAAAAATTATCAAAACAAGGTTTAGGTCTACATCAACGGTGTCAGGATATAAAAGCTCGAAATATATTTATGCGATACTACCGCTAGCACGTAAAAGAATAATTATATCCAGTTACAAAAAATCGAGTACCAAATTAATTGGAACAAAAACGAAAACTCTGTGCAGCATTGTGACCTATACCCATGAAAGCTGAAAAACGTTACACTGGCTACTGAAAAAAATTCCTACCGAATCCCTTTGTTCGGGTGAAAAGAGGCGCTAAAATTGGAAGTACTCGTATAAATTTATCGTACGCGGAGCGAGTCTCGAAGTCGCAAGTAACTCATCGTTACAATGTCCTCTCCCTACTCTTTTGCGAATTGAAGCAGCACTACATGCCAGTGGCAGTATACCCATGCCATCCGAGCGGCGTGCCGCCCGTAAATTATAAGCGCACATGCGATCGGTGAACTTTAAAATCCACTCGACAGTTGCAATTTGCGAGTTACGGCTTCTTATCATTCATCTGGATCGTGAATCGGCACGAAACTAGAGCAGAGGGACGAGGAGGGTCCCAAAAGTTTTGCTCGTAAAACGCGAGGGATACGCACGAAAAAAAAAAAAAAAAAAAAAAAGATAGTACAGTCAATTTCGATCGGTAGGGTAGTGAGATGAGTCTCGTGCAATCTTCTGGAGATAATCGACTGCAAGGGCCGATATTCGCTCACCAGCCCAGCCACGCGCAATGTAATCAACCATCCGCATTTGTCCGCTCCCTTCCCTTCGGTCCCTTTCTTTGCTTCCAATACTTCCACAAGCTGCAAGATAACTTTTACTACTGTTGCTTTTTCCCCACTGTTGTGTACAGTTTCATGGTCACGCGTGTATATATGGCTCGTAAATTTCACTCGCGGTTTCTATTTTTCGTATCGACTTGCGTTCACCGCCCCTTCTCGCTCATTTGTCTTGTTCCCTCTACTCCTCCCCCATTCTCTCTACTCCTGGCTGACTCTCCGTCTACTGTTTTCCCTCTTGCATGGGGTGTGTATATGTATATGCACCAAAAGCTTTTGACGTCAAGTCGAAAGGTTAGATGGACGTGCACTGATACATGTTCTTGACCCAGTTACCAGAATGGCTCATCAGCCGAATAAGCATCGCTCGATCGGAAGATTATCGTTGACGATCTACTTATATCTAACAGTCATTACATCGCTGAAAAATGTTATTCGTCATTTAAGTCGTTTGCATAAGTGCATAAGTATACTCACTGTATAAAATATAAGATGGCATACTTCTGACTGTTAAAATGCCATAGAACGGATTTCTTTATCTTTTTCGATAATTAGCCCCCTCATAAACCAGTAAATGGGTACTGAAATGTGTCTCATTAGACTATATCACCATATTTGGAAAAAGAATTTTCGAGATTAAAAAATTATTTTAAAATGATGCTTCTAAACTCTGGCTCTGGACGAAAACACGGGGTACAAATTAGGTGATAAAGAATCGGTTTCATAGATCTTTATTGACAGATATGTAAAGAAAGTAAATTTTACTGGCATAGAAGTACAACTAAGAAAATACTAACTGAAGGACTTGTTAATTTAAAAAGATGCTTAAAAACAGAGAGAGATTATATGTCAACACAAATAGTATGAAAAAAACTACTGTTTTAATATCTAAAGACGAAAATCGTAAGAACATTACATAAGTTTTGTCAAGCAATTTACGTTTGTATCACTTTTGCACTTTTTAAAATGTATAGTTGTACCTTAAAAATATATAATTGGAAGTTAAATTACCTTTCTCATTTTTAAGAGCGGGTGTAGGTTAATCTTCATTCTGAAATACTTGCAGTTACCAAATGGATCTAGATGTAGCTTGATTAACGTTGAAACATAAATATCTCACAAGGTATTACTGGGAAAGTAGATAAAAATTTAATCTTAATGCAAAAAGAAATGACCATGTGATTAATTTGAATTTTCTTTATTGGAATAAGTTTAAATAAATCATTTTATATAAATTTAAATTTGGCACCAATTATTTTAAGTTATGAAAATATGCAACTATAATATTCCGTGATTTTCAAAGCCTAATAGAAAAAATACAAAAATATTTAACAACTAAATACCTTTTATTCGTATCACTTGGTGATTGAAAGAGGCGTTGAAATAGAAATTTGAACATGTGAACATACTGACAATAAACTCAATCAATATATATCAGCAAAAAACAATGGTTACTCATCAATTATTATTCATGAGAGGAAGACAATAGAAAATACACACCGTAACAATTATTATTCGTCTGAAACATTACGAAACGAGTTTTAATTATTGCACACAATGATACTTGTTAATGAATTCTACTCTAATTTTACGTATGAAAAGCTTACTCACTTCATTGTACAATAAAAAGTAAAAAAGTAGTCTAAATCATCCCTGATGAACAGTAAGGCTCAGTAAGACAGTAAGCAAATATCTCGTGTTTCATGGATATTCCAGCCCATTAGCAAATCGCATTACTCAGCCGATGTAAATTCTCTTCATTTCGTGCGTCAAGGCTGTACATGTACGCAAGCGAGTTCTGTAATCAATATTCAGCGAAACAAATACAAACTGCCGAGCGAGACAAACTCCAAAACTCGTTGGGATACTGGCCAGTTTCCTCTCCTTCCCCGACTTGTATCCCATTTCCTGCCCCTTTTTCGCGCGCATGTATCGCATTCATTGGCGAAACGGCTACCCCGGTGCAGCGCAATCGATTCCCACGTCTCAAAGTTAAACAAGTTTTTGCCAGCCAGCAGTTACCTATACGCGCTAATTAAAATCTCGCAGCCGCCTTCGTGCAAGCACTGCCCGATAATCTCTGCGTAAAATAAAAAAAGCCAAAGCAGCTGAAGTGTTGGAGAGAGTATGTACGAGGAAAAAAATCCACCCTCCAAATTGCTGATTCAACCTTTTTAATTTGGTCTCTGATTAATCAGTAATACGATAGGTACTTTTATTACCAACGTTTCAACATTTTTTTTTTGTTTTTAGTAAATGATCACTGTAACTAATAATTTTAAATTAGTGACTTAAATCACCAAAGAGCACCTGAACTAGATTCACTCGAGACTCAACGACCGAATTTTAATTAATCTAAGAGTAAAAATATGCAGCTACT